TGACACGGTATTTATATTACAAATGTGAGGAAATTGAAGTGCAAATAACCTTCCTTACACCATCGGTGGCTTCATGGTCGGTTGGTTTTGACTTAGGTTGTCTCTAAGAAAGACACAAGAGCGCTTATATTCCGCTTATTTCATTTAAATATTAACTGTTTAGAACACTTCAACAGAGCTATTAATTTTGCCAGTACAGACTCATCAACGCACATTCATTCACTTTATCACTGTCCATCGACAAGACAATCACTCAGTTATTTAAGAACACCTGCATATTTGTTACACAGGTTTCGCAGTTATTTATCTATTCAGTTTGTATACAGATAAAATAAGTAGACACAGGGAAAATAAAGAGGGAACAGGCCCACAACTGCCAGCTATTGGGGCGCAACGCCTGCTTGCACCTTCGAGGAGGGGAGACACGGATGTGAAGAAGAGGAATGCGTTTAACAGTTGCCCTTCATTTTTACCGTGTATCTCTAAATATCAGCGTATAAAGGTATAATTAGTTTAGTTGTCCTCGAAGTATGCCTCACGAAGAAAAAAAATATAAAAAAAACGTACGTTTTCTGGTCCGTGTTTAGATGCGATTGAATAAACAAATGAAGTGTTCGAAATGAAAACTCGGGTTATTTTTCCAGTCACAAAATTTCGCTGTTTCTTTCTCTTCTTTTTTCTTTTTTTTTCTTTCAGGGGTTGGAGTTGTCCGCCTCTTTCATCGTGTTATGCGGTGTCTCGACTAGTCGAAAAAATATATATAGAAAGAAAATGCTCTAAAATAACACTAGTTTGATGCTGTGATAAGAACAAATAAAAACAAGTGTTACCGAAAAGCGTTTCGATGGCACATCGCTCGAAATGCCTACCTATTGAAAAACAACATGCTGCCCACTCACGCGAAGCGACGTGGGAGACGCGACAAGTGCGCTTCCACCACAAGAACGGAAAGTTATATCGGTCTGTGACGCAAAAGTACGTAAGGCAAAACAAAAAAAAGAACAAAAACCATCTGCGAATAATAATGCTTGATTTCGCGATAGTTCCATCTAGCCGGTATTTGTTGGTTCTCATGGTGATGTGTAAAAAAAGATTGTAAACAAGCGATTCGGAAATCGCATAATCGGATGTATATTGGGTTGGAACGCCAAGCTCTTATGTGCTAGTTTTTTTTTTTTTCGAAGAAACACCGCCGCGGGATGCCCCGAATAAAAAGGTACCCTCTAGGACGATTCGGAAAACAATACGCCTGCGGCGTTTTTTTTTTCTTATTTCAATGCTGTATTTAAATCTTCTGGTTCATATTTTCTTACTTTTTTATTATGTGTAAGGCTCTATAAGATTCAGTAAAGTGAAGGTTTGGTTAAATCCTTCCGTTATAAATTTTCTGTTGTTCTCTAAACATGCTTGAGTGCAGAGTTCCTCATGCAGTTGTTTTCGCCGGAACTCATTTTAGAGAATCCTACGAATGCCACTTACCTGATTGCACGCATCTGTTTAATATTTTTTTTTCAATGAAACAGCCCGTGTGTATGATTGCGAAAAGTGCGTAGGCGGCTACACACGGAAGTTGTTTTCTGGAAAACTGCATCATTATTTTTTTCTATTTATATGTACAAGATGATCAAGGATCTTTGTTTATTAGTTGCGTGGCCATTCTAACATAAAATTGGATGATAGTGGGTGCGTACGCAGTTCTCTACACATAAAAATAACAATATTTTCTGGAATTTTAAGAAAGAAATAGCCTTGTCGTTTCGCTTTGCCTCAAGGGAGCTTCTCGTCAGCTAAAAACCACTTTTTTATGCCAAGATATTCACCAAACCACAACTGAGGGAGGCAGGCTGTAATCACAGGCCCTGGATTTTTATGAAATTGGCGGACGTATAAAGTGGTCAGTGGTAGATAAAAGGAAGGGAGCTTTACTTTACTTGCGGACGCAAATCGGAGATGATATCTTAAGAGCAGCAATTCATTGCGGTGGTTTCCGATATGAGTTGGTTGTAAAATGAAAGGTTTTCTCTCGTTGCATGCTTAAAAAGATATGAACACATAATGTAGACGCATTTCTTGAAACACGTCCAGTTTTGAAATCTCGTTCTGTTCTTTGTAAATTATTTATTGACGTCTCTTAACGCTTTAGATATGCAAGTTAGCTTAACTGATTCACTATAACCTGTCTGTTAGGGATTAGAAGTTACCGGTAATGTCTAAACAACAGGCTGTTTATAACACACTTGTCTCTTTCACGACAGCTTCGCACTTGACAGCTATGACACGCAGCTCACATAACGTCAACTTTCAGAGCGCAGCACGTTACCACAACGAAGAAAAAAAAAAGGACCCGTAAATATTAGTTTATGTTCCCTGCAGCCTTAGAGTTCCTTGGTGCAGCTTTCAAGACGCCCGTCTTCATATTAGAAGGAGGGAAGGAGAGATATGGAGAGAGAGCGAGAGAGAGTGGGAGGGCGGACTCTATTAGATACGCAGAGTTATTTGGTGGCAGCTGACGCTGCTTCTCTCTCGAAGCTCCCTATTTAGAGACATCCAATCAACAGGACGCCTTCGGGAGCTCCTTTTCATTTAGTTCGATTACTTTTTTTTTGTCCTCGCTCTCATACGCTGCTGCTGGGGCACACGTAAGTAGATAAGGTGGACGCCATGTCGTCGCTGGTGCAGTGTCGTTCTTGGTCCCTGTGCGGTATGCGCAACGCTGTCTTCCTTTCTGTCGATACTTTCACTCTGTCTAGAGTGCGTCCACTTATGTGAGGCCACAAAAGGACCGCCACGTCGCTGAACTTGGCCGAGTTTCTCAGCGGCGAGCACGGGCACCGTTCTCGTTGTTCCACTTCTCCGCGACCAACGCGAAGCTTTTTCTGCGCCGAAACGATGAGGCGGGCCATTTGTGCCTGCGTAGTACGTGCGTGCGTATTCGGCTTTGTGGCTGGAAGCCGCTAGTTCGCAAAGTCGAGGCTCTCGAACGGAGACGGAAAAGCACCGCTATGCTCGCTCTTCTTCGGCAGTTGTCAATCGCATAGCAGAGACGGAATGCGATCATTCGGTTAATCCTTGTTCTCGCAAGTTACTAAGAAGTTCGGTCTTCGTACGTGCGCATAAGTGGTCGGAGTTTCGGTCATCCCGAGATCGTTGAAGAGGACGGAGTTTGGTAAAGGGGGAAGTTGGAAGAGCATCGTGCCAGATTAGATCCGGAATTCGCGAGATGTTTTCTTCGCGTCCTGGAAGACAAGTTGTCGAACTAAGTCGAGTCGAGCCGACGAGGTTTGCATTAAAAAATTGATCAAATAAGAGTCTCTGAAGGGTTATTTACCCATACAAGGCTTTCGATAATTCCGCTGAATGAACGCGAGCGCTATGGGGATTGGCGAATGACCGTGTTTGCTATGGGCCAACTATTATTTGTGGTAAAACAGAACTTCTCAGAACATCTGACGCGATAACTTCTATTGAAAAACGGCACTATTTCGCCATAAATATAGGTAAAAGAATATTTTGCCTAAATTAAAGTAGAAAAGTACGTTTTTTTTTGTTTTGGCCGCGAGGAATGTTCGTAGTCACGAACTACACCCTCCAAGCATTTTGTGTGCTCTAGGGGCAACAACTTTTACGCGTCGTGTTTTTGCTTCATACAACCTCCTTCAATGACAAGTTCTACAAATGGCGCTCTTCCAGTTTTTGCTGTCACTGTGCAGAACTTTCCGAGCAGGCCTGGTGTTTTTTAGTTAATTTAATATTTGTGCACCTACCTGCCACGTCACAGTAAGGTATAAGTTGACATACTGTTTTTCGGTGCTCCTTCTTACGTCATTTTTTTTCGCATTGAAAAAAATTCATGAATGTTCGAAAGGATGGCTAGAAGCTCTTTCGAGACTTTGTCTCTAATTTTTCTACAAGATGCTTCAAATCACACCAGAAACAATATTTAAGAAACCAAGGTGACGAGAAGGATTATTTACGATTCTGCTCTCTGACGCCTTCTTGCGTCACTTCGGCTGAGCAGTTTCCGTAGGAAGTGCTTGTCCAACATTGTTGCTCATGCTTTCACTTTATCTTTCTTGCTTCGACTTAAGTTCAACTTCATCTATACTATGCATCTCTCGAACGTTTTGCAACAACGAACGTGTGAAATTGACACGCACTGTAAGGTAGTGCAGTAAAAACCTATACTTTCCTCCAGTCCAGTGTAACCATGGCTCAGCATTCGACCAGTGTTTGTACAAGCTTTATATACCTGCGTGAACTAACGATTTATTTTGCAAATACATGTGATTGTGGGACATTGATACATGTATACTGTTTTTTGAAAGTTCGCTCTTTTATCGCTGAAAGGAATGAAGCGCTGAGACAACAAATGTAACGTTATAGTATATTATTATGAGTAACTCATACAAGCCGATGTTTCAGTATGTATGATACTTCAAGATGAAATGCATAAATCGGAAAATACTTAAGCTTGTAATTATTATTTAGAATCTGATTCAGCTAGTCATATGTAGTACAGTGAGATATTAAAGCAATTTGCAAGAATGCTATTATTTAAACTTTAAATATCACCTTGCATCCTCCAGAAAATAAATGACAGAATGGCCATTGCTTTTTAACTAAGAGATATTTATGAACACAACAAGCGAAAAAAATGCATCTACGAATGAAAACTTACCAGACGATCCTGCAATAACCAAAAATTGCCTTTTTGTCACTAAAGCACTAGGCGTTCGTACAACAATATTTATTAGCAGCTGCTTTTCTCACAATAAAAAAAAATAGTTTCGTTCCTAATGAGAACCCATATATTTTATATCCCTACATAGTTAAGGTGAATTGAGAAAGAGAAACAACACTTCATTACTTAACCTAGCCGAGATCAAGTCAGACCTAAATAGTACGCATTGAAATATTACAAAACTCAAGAAAAATACTATGCTCGGGCTTGTAGGTGTAATTTAGGCTCCCCTCATTTTATTTGTCTATTTTTTTTGCAGGCCATGAGCTGAATGCAGCACCAAACCAAGAATCTCAACTGGCTGCACTTTCTGTACATCCTACGTTCAAGTGAACACTGTGCTTTCCACACTCTGTAATCAACCAATAGTAAGTGTTTTTTCGTGCATGTGTTGTTTCTATGTGGCTCTGCTTGGAAGGTTCTTTACGGCGTCCAATAGTGAACACGCTATCAGTTCAAAGAGTTGAAACACATGCCGCGGCCAAACACGCTTTTTGGCCGCAGAGTTGTTTGGAGTTCGCAAGTTTAGCTTGCGAAAGTCAGGCTCGTGTAGCCCGTATAAGGAGCGTGGTGGTTTGGGCTAGTTTGTATGACATGGCGATTGTTATAGCGCAAGGGCAGAGTGATGATTGTCCTTCTTGTCCCTTCATCGTCGTTCTGCTCTCGGGCTATAACAATAGTTGGGCCCTATAAGGAGTTCCGAAGTCCACAGGTGGTACACAAATCACTCATATGAATCTTCACGTGCACTCGTAACGTAATAGTCAAGACGGCATAGCGATCCCATACCTGTGCGTTACGATGTTAAAATAAACCAAACAGTAAATGTGCTGAAAGCAGCGAAGCGTGCCGCTCTTCTCAATAAAAAATAATGCTTTCAAAGCGTCTTCTGCAAGGCTTTCTTTGTTTTTGATGCCCACATAATGTTTCGTTGAAATGAGTGATTTGTGGCCTATTTTATTAGCCCTGATTTATTCTAAAAGGCCCACATCACACTCTCAGCTCTTTATTTTTAATTCTTTTGATTGCGAGTCGTGCCAGGGTTGAAAATTTGGCTTTTAGGTTCAAGTTTATAACTGAGAAAAAAGAGTGCGAAACTCTCACAGGACACAAGCGTTGATGCAATCCGTTCTTCGGCTTGTGTCCTGTCAGGATTTCGCACTGCACTTTTGACCAATTGTCTAGACATGCCGTCAGAGACGAGATCGAAACGAAGTGCGGAAAATGTCACTAACTGTCCAGTTTCCTACACGTGTCTCCGCGGCCTCCTTCCAATTGTGGCCACCTTCTTTCGAGCTCTCGGGGAAGCTTTCCTCAACGCAGCCAGAAAAAGGCAGAGCACAAAGGGAGATTATAAAAACACACAAACCAAGAAAAAGGAAGGTCACGCGAGGATTGGAAGGCTTCCTTAAAGCCGCTGAGCGTTGCCCGTCAGCGCAGGCTCTTCGGCCTGACTGCTGGCCAGCCAGCCGCTCTAAACGTCCAGATAAGCAACTCTACGTCGAAAACAAAACACACACAAAAGTTCAAGCGCCCGTAACGAAGTTTCTTCCACAGCCCGCACGCCCGGTACTTCACTGGCCACATCTAGTTAAAGAACTTGCCCCCCCCCCCCATCCTCCTTCTAAGACAGTGTGGAGCTCGGCCGAGTGCTGCCGTCAGCAGGCTACCTCCCACACGGTGGCGCTATGCACGTTGCTCGTCTAAGCATTGTTTGTGTCAGTTTTCTCGCCGTCATGCTTACCTCATTTCGTCAAGGAGGTTATTGCAAGTTACCTCGTTAAGTCCTCTCCCTGGCTTGTGGTAGCCTAGACGCCCTGTATAGCCATACATGCTGACATAGTTCTCAGATTTCGTGCGCAGTCTTACTTGGCCGTGCATCAAGACGCGTAGAAAGTAAGACATTCTTCGCCACGAAAAACGCCCTTGTTGTTTCCTGTACAGTCGATGTAAATTGCTTAGAGTGAACTAGGTCTGAGAGAAATTTCAATTACCCAGTAATTTGTCTCTGCATTCTGTCGAACTCTTGAGTATGTGGTGATAAGGCGTTTTATAGCAGGCATGTGGTTCTAATTCAAGGCTTCCTGTCGAAGCAGTGGGAATATTCAGGGTCTTGTTCCTCATACTTCGTAAATTTATTACGGTGATGGTGTGCATAAAAATTTCAGTAACTGCACTCATAGTGTCTTTCAAACAAGGTTCAATTTATGGGAAAAAAAAGTGTCATGATTATCCGCTAACATACTGGCTTGTACTTGCATATCCGTGGGTGCAGGGGAAAGGAGGTAGGAAGGGTTGGGAATTCCAGCACCTCCCTCCACCGCCTTCTTGCAAAAAAACGGAACTTCTGGTTACGCTAATGATTATCTAATTGAGTGGCATAGTGGTACACCGACGCCTTATGAACAGCTTGACCGCAGTAGCAGAAGGCGATATTGAAGGCGGACTGCATGCAAACGTCATGCACGCCATGCTACTGGCGCCTCCTATGTTGTTCCGTGTCACGATTATGCCATTTCACTCAGTAGCATTTGTTCATAAGGCTCGACAAAGACCAGTCTAGTCCACTGGTTGAAACCAGTGGCGTAGCCAAGGAGTGTCACACCGGGCAATTGTATACAGAGAAAAAAATGAGCATTTTAAGGGATTGCCCATCTCCCCCCTCTTCCTAAATCAAGAAGGTGACCCCCCTCTCCCCTTCAAAAATTTCTGCCTACGTCACTAGTCGAAACTGTTGACAAATAAAAGACAACCACTACTTTTTTTCTTGAAGCAATATTTATTTGTAGTTTCTTTGGTTCACATTTCAACACTATATTGAGTCGCGCGCTGGAGCATGCCTACACTAAAAGAATATTGCTGTACTTGTTTATTACTTGGACGTTCTGTTGCACCAACTTCCATAACCATCCACTAAGTCATCCAAATTCGCATTTCGTCGATTAATGATCCGCCTGTCCACGGCAGCCTTTCAGCTACTTTCAATTCAGATCTCATGGGAACAAATGTTTATTAGCCTTCAAACATCGTTACGACGAGCTGTGTTTTCAGCCAACGTAGCCGCACTTGATCCTAACAGAACATTTAAGAAATATATTCAATAAAGACGATGAAATAGCCTTACTTGCGTGCACTAACATTGCTTACGTTTTTTTGTTTTTTGCAACGGGTTGCTGAGTTAGGTGTAGCGACGGTGGAAATACTATGAAATAATTGTTCGATTTGTCTAGAAGTTTTTTGTAGTTGGAATGCTTAACAACATAGTCTAATAGAAGACAAAAAAAATTCACTGCATATCCACGGAGTGAATGTTGTTGAGTGGGGCGAAGCGTCCATCAGTCTTTCCGCGCTTCCGTCCGTCCGTTCGTTCTTTCTTCCATCCGTCCGTCCGTGCGTCCATGCGTGCGTCCGTCCGTGCGTCCGTCCGTGCGTCCATCCGTGCGTCCATCCGTGCGTCCATCCGTGCGTCCATCCGTGCGTCCATCCGTGCGTCTATCCGTGCGTCCATCCGTGCGTCCATCCGTGCGTCCCTCCGTGCGTCCATCCGTGCGTCCCTCCGTGTGTCCCTCCGTGTGTCCATGCGTCCATCCGTGTGCCCGTTCGTCTGTGCATTCATTAATTCGTCCGCGCGTCCGGCCGTCTGGCTGTCCATCGGTCTGTCTGTCCGTGCGTCCAGCTGTGCGTCCGTCCATCCATCCGTGCTTCCATCCATCCATCTGTGCGTCCATTCGTCCTTCTAGTGAACACGCGAAGTACCGCCAACTCACATCTTTTCATTGCGATCGTAGTCATGCGATGGTCTTTCTCCTTTCCCTGTGACACATATCGGTCTATTCCCTGTGGCACATACCCGCTCTCTCGGGTATGTGCCACCGGCGGTTACGCACAACGACAACAGGGGACGCACAAGCCACGCCATAAGGAGCTTCGTCCCTAAAAGAAATGTACAAGTTGCGAAAATATATAAACTCTAAGTTATCGGGCTGTCCAAATGGTGCGGGAAGGAGCTATTAGATGGCTTGTGTTCGCCTTCAATGTTCGTTTATGCAGGCGAATGTGTAGCGCCTTTTCTCAAATATTGCTCGGTTTTAGCATGGTTGCCCATCAAACTCGCTGCTAGCGTGCAGTCAGGAAAAAAGATCACCTAAAAAAAAAAACTTCTTAGGTGAACAGCAGGCAACGCGCAGGGGCCTAATCGAGAAATTTGAGGTCGAGGTAAATGTCATACAATGTGTTTGTGACTAGCTTAGGTTAGCTGGCACTCTCACTCAGAGGCCAATTGTTATTGTGAAATTGTTGGATGCATTGGTTATGAAAAGAGGAACTTGTGTGAGTTGGTGGTAGTTTATTGTTACCGAGCATCAATAAACAGCATAAACAGATTAGGACAGGGGAGATAATAATAATGCTACATAGAGTGCACGCAAGGATCATTTGTTTAACGTTGTCTGTCAAGGTCTGTGGTTTGTCTAAGATTGGTTGAGAAAGTGCAAGCTTTGTCTGTCTAAGCGAGCGTTTCATGTTGACAAGCAGTTCAAGAAACACCATGATGCCTCGCGGTACGTTTGGTGTGCCCGTGCCTGGGAGTGAGTGAGTAAATAAGTGAGTGAGTGAGTGAAGGGCAGAAATATTTAGCCATTCACCACGACATTCTCTTTAGAAGTGCTAAGCACTTCAAGGGCCCTTCCTGTCGTGTGCTGCCGTCACTTGGTGTAAAGCTTGCAAAACCTCATACAAAAGTATAACAAGAAGGAGTAAGCAAGTGTGAAATAGAAATAGAAAGAAAGAGATTGAGAATCATGAAAATTATAAATATAAGTAGAAGAAAAAATACAACTGTGGAAAAGAAAGAAACCAAAAGGGAGAGAAGGAAAGAAAGAGAAAACAAGAGAGAAGCAAAGAAGGCGCTCAGCTACGCAGTTCCTTCGTTCTTAGACCGCTGGTATGAAACTTCTTTCCTTTTTTTTTTCTGCAATGCATCAGGAAAGCACATCGGCATGACTAAACGCAGCCGCAGATTTGTTGGCGCTCAAGAAACGAAAGTTCGACATTCTAGCTATAGCGACAACGTGAAATGCGGGAGTGGACTCGTTTTTCCTCGCTTCAAGCTCGCCTCCTCCACTATCCGCGCAACCGTCCTGCAGACGTCCCACGGCGACGACAGGCCCACATGGAAAGAAAAAAAGAAAGCGGGCCACCGTCGCCCTGCAACCGAATCATTCAATTTCACCGAGACAGTATCGAGTTTCTGGCGGGGCGTGCCACGGTGAGTGGGCGAAAGGATAAATAAAGTGTCGAAGGCTCCGGGTGGCGCTGGCGACGGCTTCGCGGTCAGCAACAAAGAACGCTCGGCGGAAACCAATTTAGT